GTACAAAGACGTAGTATAATTTGTCACAAAATACAAGAGTGGACGCCCCACGTTCCTGATAAGTGGAAGTTATGCAAATCTTAATTTCAAGTAAAACACAAATACAATTAAACATTAATGCATAAAACTGTTTAAGTACTCAGTGTTATATACACATGACCGATTTCCCCCATATATTGATTAATATGAAATAACTTTGTGTTTACAGGCAGTCGTTTAATTTTAATGTTGAAGATTAAAAAAATATATATTTATGTTCACACATCTTACCCCACCCACCACACACAAAAGATGGGAAAAAACTACAAAAACTATTACAATTATTAAAAATAAAAAATTTATAAATAGAAAATGTAAGCCAGGTTTGTTTTTTTTTTTGCTTGAGGTGTTAAGGTCCAGCAGCACACTAGGACAAGAGTAGAGCCTAACCTTTCGTTTTATTTTAGCGAACTGCAAAGGCAACACTTATTTTTAATGTATTTATTTTTACACCCTTCTCCTCAGTTCATTTCACCAGCTCTTTATTTTTTTACCAGCTTTAAAAAAAAAAAATATTGGTTATGACTTAGGTTGGCAGACATTTCAGCTGTATTTAAGTTTACTTCATATGACAGATTATGGCGTGACGGTGTAACCCCTGCTGACAGCAGTACGTGTATCCATCACTGATATGTCTTAATTCACCTTTCCAATCGAATTGTGATGTCTCGCCTCAAACCGCAAATCAGCATGTCAGCTAGTTGTGTCAGGAGTTTTATTGTACACCTTAAACAAAAAAGAAGCCGACTTTGAAAATAGGGAGAATCTAAAATATTTATTAAGCAGTGCATTTTTCTTCCCCACGGACACTGAAGTTTTGTAATTGATTTTCATTATGTTGGAGGAAAACCTCTACACGTTATGGTCCTGTTGCACGTGCCCCCCTGCTGAACTGATTTATGAGCTTGATAATCAGCAACTGAAGGTTTTGCTTTAAGACCTTTCATACGTACAAATAGGGCGCTGCAGTGACATTAAGTATATATATATATGTGTGTGTGTGTGTGTGTGTGTGAGAGAGAAAGAGACTTTTCAAGATTAGCAGTTATAGGCACCCATATTATTGTCGCTTGTTGTGTCAAATGTATTTTTATGGGAATTGTAAATTCACACACACAAAAACATCCACCCACGACCACGTGTGTATACCGACTGTGCTCTTTATTAAATAAATAAATTATTCCCTTCTCCAAAGAGAGCTTCTGGAAATCCATAAAACACAGGAGAGTAGTGAGTGCATTGTTTATGATTTCTCCAAGGGCCCCTGATTTACGCTCACCACATTAAGCAGCACATTGGGTTTAATATAATTTACACACTTAGAAATTCATAAAACAAATGTCTCACTTTGGTGGTAAAGCACTGGTTGCTAGTTGGCTATAAATATTTTGCTTTGATCGTGGCAATTTAAGGACATTACATATCCTGGTCACTGGCACGTAGTTTCCCCATTTCTAACATGAATCCTATTATAAAATGATTAAAAGGAAATACATTTTAAAAAGTAATAAATAAATGGAGTTTGGGATTTGTTGAATCGGTGTAGGAATGGGTTAATTTTTATTTACTTATAGTTTCCAAATAACCCAAAGCTGTCGATGCCTCAGACAGAAGAGGGGGGCGTCTTACTGCTCTCTCGCTCTCTCTTATTCTCTCTCTCTCGCTCGCTCTTTCTCTCTCGCTCCCTCTAAAACAAAGACGCTTTGTCATAAACAGGGTTATTTTACCAAAAGGAGTCAAGAGGGCAACATATGTGGTCTTAACAGGTCAGAGGTCAAACATGCATGAAACACAAGGTCAAGCAAGCCACACAAGTAACCTTGCAATGTGTCAACATATTGATACTGTCAGACAACGGAGAGGAGAAATATGCCTTTGGCATCCATTATAACACACGGGCAGAGCGCCCCTTGCGCGATCGGGATTGTTGGGTTTAATGTTATAAACCCGTCAGATGGCTTTTTCTTTTTTTTGTATTTTTGTCAGCTGTAACTGTAGATTGTGTGTGTAATATTTCACGTGATTTATTTGTTACGTGTGTGAGCATAGCGAGTATTGGTACTTCTAAAACCTGTTGAAATACTAGTCTGTGGGGGATTTTGAATAGGTTGGAGGCTTTTTCTTTTCCAGGCAGAAGGGAAAACCCACAGCCTCTTGATGATTGATTTTTTTTCTCAAAATTTTCTTTCTCCTTTCCCCTATCTGGGGAAGGTTTTTGTGTGTTTTTTTTCTTCAGAGAAATAAAGAACTTCTTATAGGGGTCGGCAGACGTGACTTTGAACTTGGATCAGCTCCTGCGTTTCCTGTGGTGCGAGTTGAAATAGACTTGGAAGAATGGCATACAACGCTCAGCCTGTCCCACTCAGAGCTAGGAGACACAATTAAAAAAAAAAAAAAAGTTTTTAAAACGTTTCCCTGGTCTTCACCATTATTTGTCGTCTAGAGTGCACCGGAGAAGCTGAGACAGGCAGAAAGCTGTGTTGTGTGACGGAACCGCAGAGCTTGTGGGATATTTTTGGGGGGTGAAAATGTAAGTAAACTTCCTTTGACTTGCATGTGAATAAGCAGCTTTGGTGCACGGCCTGTGTATTTATGTGGCTACAGATTCAGTGTGTGTTTGTTGTGGGAAGGTGTCAGTAAATAATTCACAGAAGTATTTTGGAGTATTTGACTTCTATCTGTCTGGCTGCGTGGGACACCAAAAAGGGGGAAAATGAAAGAAGAACAAGAAATCCAATGTAGACATTACTGTGCTAACGTGGGGCAAAAAAATCGACTTTTTTTTTCTTACAAAAACACACCATATGTCACTATCAACACATCCTACTTTATGGTCGAAAATGCGTCACTGACAGTTCAACACAACCTCTACCTTATAGGTCACTAAGGGTTAACTTTCACCTTAGCCCAGTTCACCGCTGTAACATGTAACTTAATTGGTGTGGTAAAGTGAGAACCACCAACGAAGCAGAACTAGCGACATATACAACCACTAAAGAAACCGTCAGCCACCACTGACGGCTGCCCGGGTGAGACCTGGAGAACCACTAAAGGCCCAGTTGTGGTTGTACAACCAGTGGAAAACCACTGGACTCCATATGGAGCCACACATGCTTTTTCAGCTGTCATGAATTAAGTGACTCGAACTTTATTTATTTTTTTCTGGTAAGGATGGATAGATGGTTTTTTTTGCCTTCACTGAGATGATATGACTGTATAGCGTTGTGGTTAATTGACAATTTATTTTTGATGTCAGTTTCTGTAAATTAAATACAACATCAGCGCTTTTTAAAAACAGGGATACAGTAAAACACAGACCACTTACGTCACATCTACAAAACTACCTAATCAATACCTTAATCCATTATGTCAACTCTTACTTTTTACAATCTTCACTATTTCTCATCAAATGCTGTGTTTGTATCCTTCATACTACAACTTCCCTCAGAATATAAACAACAAAAACAGCTCTCCTCTCTCTTGTCGTGATCCTTTCGCCCGCACACCTCCCAAATCTTCTCCTAAAAGTAGGCGGTAATTATTAGTGGAAAATGGCGTTGCGCTATTAAGTCGCCAAAGCGCTACCTGCTATTGGAGGGGCACCTGGGATTGATGAGGCGCGGCGGCCAATGAGACTGCGAGGAATGAATGAACGCTCTCCAGTTAAAGGGGGCGGAAGAGGAGGTAGAGCCAGTCCACGGAGAAACAGGGACCCTCCGCGATAAACACGGGCAAAGCCAGAGAAATAAATACGTGCGCGTTTGGGAACGGCGTTTTTTGAGATGCCCCAGCTACTGTCTCTCTGCTGTATGCAGAAGGCACCTAGTACGATAATTATTTAATTCTTCGAGTCGATTTTAACGCAAAAAAACCCAAAACAAAACAAAAAAACTGCCGTAGTCAAGAGAAGAGGACACGAGGAAACTCTTGGATTTTTAAGTCACAAGTAAACTAGAAGTAAATTCAGTGTTCGATAAGCCGAGATTCCCTCTTTTATTTTTTTTTTTAAATTTTTTAAATTTTTCTTTTCTTTTCTTTTTTTCAACTCTTGAGCGGAGCAGCGCTTTGAAACACGCCTGATATGTTGTTTCCAAGGCTGGAAGTTCAATCGTCGCGTGCCAGCACCGAGATTTGATTTTTCTGTCTTCTTCTTTTACTAATTTGCTGTAGCTTCGAGCTCTGTGCTGGTGTTTTATATTAAAAAAAAGAAGAAAAAAAAGAAATCGCTTTGAAGACATAATGCTACTGGATGCTGGTCACCAGTTCCCAGGACTCGGAGTGGGCTCGTTTGCCAGGCATCACTCAGCCAGCGAGATGCAGGAGAGAGACTTGAGTTTGGCACAGAATAGCTTTGTTGACTCTGCACACATGGGTGCGTTTAAGCTGAACCATGATCTCTCCCCAGGACAGAGCTCTGCCTTCACCACCCAGGCGCCGGGCTACCCCGCAGCGGCTCTGGGGGCTCACGCCGCCCATGTCAC